TTCATGAAAGATAATAAACAAGAGTAAGTGCCATAAGCCAAGCACAAAGGCATACACACTAGCAAGGAAATGAAAATAATTAGACAATAGGTCAATAACTCTCTCTCTCTCTCTCTCTCTCAAGGTTAATAACCCAAAGGCGTGAAACTCAAAATTTAACATCGTTATCATGTATAAGCATGGGATTTTAACTTTTTAACATTTTCTAATCAATCCTACACGGGTCATATAGTTTTCATTTTTTTAAGAATAGCGGCAGGACTAAACATCTATACATTTTATTCTATCAAATAATACTATGATAGTTGTCTTGAGCCTTGTAGCTTATATGGCATCCCACGCTCTCCTCAAAATGGGAGGTTGTGAGATCAAACCTTCTGGCCTCGTTTAGTATGCTTGAATTGAGGAGGGTGGAAATAAAATTGATGATGGAAATGAAATTTTAGCATGTTTTGTAATCTCCTCCTTTACTATTGCCAAATTAACTCCAAATCTCAACTAATTAAGAAATTGGATTAAGTTAAAAACAAATTTACCAAGTTGCAAATAAGTTTTAAAGATAATATCCTAAGTTTTTAAAACTAAAACCATTTCAAAAGGTTTCATACTTGACAAATCAGAGTTAATAATTATGCGAAAACATGTGATCATTTAAAAGATTAGTGCATTTGCTTAGAAGTTAGAAAATAATGCAATTATGTAATTTTCAGGGGCATGTGTTGCTGCTCATTGAGCATGTGTTGTGGCTTATTCGCCTTTGTGCCATGCACAACGGTTTATTACACAATGCATCGTGGCTCATTGCACATTCCATGACAGTAAAATTCTACTGTCAATTTGACAACTTTTAGGGCAACTTTTAACGTGCCTTATTTCTTCATCCATGTCCGATTGACACAAACTAAATGTCTATGAAAAGCTTTTTTTGAGCTTTAACTAATAGTTTAGGTTTTATACTCAAATTGTTACTCAATCAAAAGTTAGACATTATTTCAAAACTTGTACTTTTTCATCACTTTTTACAAAACAAAGTGTCCAAAACACATCTCTCAAGCTAAAAGCCATAGACACCTCTCAAACCACATATAATAGATCAAAACTAACATGTGCAATGTACCACATTATACAACACACGAATAAATCACATTTTTTATGGTTAACCCTTAAATCTAAAAAATAAGAGGGGGAGCTCAAATCACCTATTCTATCATATCATCTATAATAGTCAGATGACATAATTAAATCTTACTTGTACTAGTATTTTAACCTTATTATATATATATATATAAATCACATACATATACCTTAAGGCCTAAAATACACTTTACCCTTCATAAAACAAATGATGTAAGTAAGTTTCAAATGGAAATACTTCTAGTTGGCAATGTCAAGCATCATATATACATAAATACTCAAAATGAAAGAGGCCTACTAATAAGACGACAATCTTATGCCTTGAGTTGTTTTCCTTTATCCTATCATCTTAAGCTATTTTTTGAAATATTGAAGATATTAGGATGAGTACAACCACTCAGTAATCAAAGTTGAACTAAGTCATACTAATACATGTTAATTAATTCTAAATGCAAGTGGCAAGCTACAATTTAATTTTCACAACATGTAACACATTTAAGGTCATAAATCTAAATTTTCAAGCATAATAGCACATACTTATGAAATGATGCTTTACAATAACTTGCTTTACAATAACTTCCATATAGGAAAAGAATTAGTCACATGATTAATTGACATATTCTCATAAAGAATTAAAGCTAAATCCACCATTTTCATTATTAAGGACACGATACATAAAACCATATGCTCTTTTTCATTATATATATGATCACACCTCCCTTATATCTTCCTTATTGTTTTGACATGAAACTGTGAGCTATAACATATTGGGATAGTCTATGATTTAGGACTTTCCTAGCCTAAACACGTGTGAGGGGTTACTCAGCTAAGGTTTTTCCTACTCACTTGTTGAACACAGTTTTTCCTGTTTTCTCATACTATGGAGTGTCATTTTTCCTAGACTAACTTCCTCGTTGAACCAGTGAATAGCTAGTTAGGTTCTAGTCCCTTGTTGAACAAGTAGGACAATATGTATATAAACAACCCTAGCAAGCCATCAGATCAGATGAGAGCCTTATTACGTGGATTTAATTCTCTACTCGTCTTCCTATGGTGAACTTCCATCCCTCATGATCATGCGATGCATATTTATGCATTAATTCATAGCATGCAAGTTTTCATTGTACGGGCATGAAAAATATCATCATTGAACTCATTTACACGTGGTTATGATACACTACATGGCAATCAATCATTAAACTCCACAATTACACACATTGAACTCCACATTTTCATAATCATCAGAACTTCACATTTCCACAATCATTGAACTCCAAACAAATACATATACTCATTAAACTTCATTGACACATAATCATTGTACTCCACTAATCACAAAATCATTAAACTCCCATGACAATTAATCATTGAACTCCTATCAACACACATATAATTGAACTTCAAGGAAATATTAATCATAGAACTTTACTAATAATATTTCATAGAATTTTGCAAATATCATGTCCTTAAAACTTTGCACAATTCAACCTAGTGGATTTCGCAAGTGTTATATGCCAAACATGCAATTCATTCAAGTTTACACATTTAAATTCATCAAATACAAATGAATCAACTAATTAACACACAAAAGCACAAGGTAGAATTCCCCTGGTTACCTCGAATCTTTGCGAAGTCAAAGGTTTCACCCCTTAAATACTCACTCCAGAAGCTTTCAAGAAGCTTGAATGGTGCGAAAGATAGTTACTCTACAATGAATCACAAATTAATTCATCAATATCTAATTTTTGGTTAATTTCCATTACTAACTTAATACTTCACTCTTAAGATTCATTCTTTACTCACATAAAAATACCCCTAGGGTTTGTTAACTCCCTCCAATTCACATTAACATCATTGAACTCTTTATAGCAATAAATGGTGCCACATTGTTCCTAGCCATTATATTTATAGTGAAATTCGCATATTAAATGCTCCGCAACCACCAAACATTATAAAACTATAAATATTAGGTTTCATTAGCTTAATCTACTCCCATTAACTCTATTTAAGTCAATGGGTTTGGACTTATAGCTTTTATGCACCAAAAATCATTATTATTAACCAAAACCTAACTTCTATCATCAAGCGAAATGGAAGAAATAGGTAGATTTAAGCTTGAGAATCTTACCTCTAGTGTTTGGAGATTTCAAATCACTCCAAAGTTTCGAATCTCCTAAGCACTAGCATAGCTTTTCAATTGCTCCTTCATTTTCTTTTTTGTTTTCTCCCCTCTTTTGCATCATTTCATGATCTTATTAAAATAGAAAAGGGACCATGTGCTGTAATGGACGCTCAATGCATTGCAACACATGGCACAGAGTATCTCTTTAGGCGAGTCAGCACACATGTGCCATGATGGCTTGATCCACAAGCCATGGCACGTGGCACAAAACCTTACCCTTCAATTTTCTTTCTCTTTCACATCTAGGTAACCCGATTCTCTTCTGAATGCACTTTTAGGGCTGAAAAAACAACCAAACATGCCAGTTAGACCTCTCTGGCCACACACATCTCTAATAAACTTAATTAATCTAATTAAACTTAAATAATCTAAATTAAAATTTAAGGATGTTACATGTTTGGTATGATGGAAGTTAATTCTATGTGGAAATTGTTTCCATAAAAAATGATGGAATTAATTTCTATAACTAAACCTCACTTTTGGAATTCCATATTTCATTTCCATCTCCATTAGTAACCCCTTGACCATTCTGTCCTTCCATTTTGGGAGTCCCTTGTGGTAGCAAGAAGATTGGTGTGGGTGATGAAGAGAAGACAAGCAAGAAGACCTTCGACCTTTGCTCAACCAATCGATCTTCATCCTCTACTCACCATCACTTATCCAGCTCCCCACTTCTCTCCCTCTCTCCCCCTATCTATATTTGCCTTCACTCTTCTTCACCAATAATGGCATCTGGCATCTGGCATCTTGAATCTCAGCGGTGAGAACCTCTTCTTCATCAACGGTGATAGTAAAGACGATCTCTTTTATTGATCATCACTGCCAATGCTGCCTTTTCTTTAGTCTCCTTTGATTATGATTTCTCTCCTACCCATCATCGAACTCCTTCCCCTTTGATGGTTCCTCCTCCATTGTCAAAAATCACACCAAATTCACTTTATTTAAAAACAAGATCTATTTAATTTTGTTACCTTTTGGTTGATTTTTGCATATTATATAGATTATTAATTTCTATTCGATTCTGGTTAATCTCTCCCTTATGTATTGTGGTTCTCCTTGGGTTGATTTATGTTTGATTTTGGTGGGTAGGGTTTTTTTTGGGATTTAATGTTAAAAAATTAATTGAACATTTTAATTATTATTGAAGTTCTAAGCTAGTTAGAGTTCTACTAGTGTAATTTTTGTATACATGGTATTTTAGTCTTTTTAATAAAAATTATATAAAGATTCCATAGATATACAAAATATGTTTTTAAAACTCACTTCCATATCCATATTCTCTTCTATATTTATTTTTATTTCTATCAAAATCATTTATAGTATACCAAACGAGGCACAAGTAATATAGGGGGAGCGTGTGTGTGTGAGTGGATCATTTTTCCCCATGGGAAAAGATTAGGTTGGGCGTGATAAAAAAATAATACTATGATAGTATAACAAGCAACCTTTTTAATAAAATATAAAAATAGGTGAGATAATAAAAATAAAAAATGATTGGAAAAAAAATAAAAAATCCTTCATCACTGTAATTGGGCCTTAACGACAAATCCAAAAGTAAACTGGGCTTCTTTACCGCGCAACGACGCCGCGTGAGTTGGTCGTTAAACTGGGCCCACTTCAAATACATGGGCTCCACCAACCTTGCAATTTAAAAGCGGACGCAACATACGTGGACTCAAAAAGAATGGCCGCAGAAGTTGGTTGTGGCTGTCTCCTCTTATCCTGTGAAACTCAGTTACACCACCATCAGCGACGGCGAGCAAGACGAACCAGAACTCAAAAAACCGCTAGCAAATTACAGTTCTCATCCTCACTCTCACCTGTTACTGTCGAATCTTGCTTCTCTTCTTCTCTCTCCAAAAATGGTTCCTTTTCCACCCCTTTCGGCGCCAATAGGTTCAGAGTGTGCTGCCAGGTTGCTGGTGGCACCTACGACCTCGAATTCTCTGCCAAAGTCGGCCAGGACCGTCTCTCTAAGGTTTGAGCTGGATTTAAGTCTGGAAATATTTGTCAGTGAGAAGTTCTTATTCTGGATTTTATTGTTCCATTTCCAGGTTCCTATCTCTAATATAAGGAATTTCTGCATCATTGCTCATATTGACCATGGGAAATCAACCTTAGCCGACAAATTGCTTCAAGTGACTGGTACTGTTCAGCAACGAGAAATGAAGGATCAGTTTCTTGATAATATGGATTTAGAGCGAGAAAGAGGCATTACAATTAAGCTGCAGGTTCACTTGTTGTATTCTTATCCTCATTGTCTCTCATTTAAGTAGCATTCCTACATTTTCTAATATATATATATGTGTGTGTGTTTCTTCTAGTCTACTTTATTATTGATATGCTACGATATGTATCTTGTACGTTATTGCCCTCGTTAAAATGTGTGTTCTCCGAGCTTCTTAATATGGTCTCACCGTAACATGAAAAGTGGAAATTAATGGTAGGTTATGTTTTTCTTGGGTTTAGGCAACCGTAGTGCTTTTGTTCTTAAAAATCTCTTGCTCTGCTACCCTAGCGTTAGGTTCATTACATATTGTTTCTATTATTTGTTTTGGCTGTAAAATGCTCTTAAAGAAAGTTGTTCATGGATGTACATGTGAATGATGGGAAAGGAAAATTGCTTATGGTTTCTCAATAGCCAATTGTTTATCTCTCATGGGCTACAATATTTCCGAGTAGGGTTTATTTCTTTATTTGATCCTGGAAATTGGAAAAATATACTTTTATTTCATGTTTGGAGAATGTCACCTCTATTTAATGTTAGAGAAAGTATTTAACTAGACTTGATCATGGCAGGCTGCTCGAATGCGTTATGTGTTTGAAAATGAACCATATTGCTTAAATCTAATCGACACCCCAGGGCATGTTGACTTCTCTTATGAGGTACGTATGTTTGTTGCAGCATACTACTTTTATCTTTATATGAATTACCACGTTGCATCAATCATATCTCTGTTCTTTTCTTTCTACTTTGTAATCCATATGGAAGCTATTTTCAGATGTAAGTAATGTCTTATGGATTTCTCATTTGGCCATTTAACTTTGCTGTAAAATACTATTTTTCTCAAAAGATTTTTTTAAGTTATAAATGGAAACTTCTGAATACATGTGCTTTCCAATAAATTATTTTTTCTGATATAACCAAATCTGTAAAAATATTTACTAGTTTAGGTGATGTTCTCTTTAAGATGTTAGAAAATATTGACGGAAAATGCATTTCCTTCTAGTTATTTTTGGCTTTAGCTAATGTTGGAAAAAATAATAATAGTAAAATGTATTAGAATGCAATAAAGTTTTTGCTATACATGCCAAACATAGTATGTTTGTTGGTCATACTTTGGGCCCGTCTGAAATCTGAATAATACCTTGTCATACAAGGTTCGTATATTACAAGTAGATAATTGTACATCTCCTTCCTTGCGCTAATATTTTTATCAGAAGGTGATGATTTTTCAGTGTATTTTATAGTTATACAATTAATGTCTTCGTCTATGCCTAGGTTTCTCGATCACTTGCTGCGTGTGAGGGTGCTCTTCTTGTTGTAGATGCATCACAGGTGAATCTTTACATATTTAACTGTGTTTTTTTTTCCTAGGTCTAAGGTAGGTCACACACTGCTCATCTTTGATTTGAACATTTGAAGTTCATGTTAAACTATTAATGATTTAAGTTTATGTTTTTAACTATTAGGTAGTTCTAAATTCTACTTTGCCTTTGTTAAAAAAGTTTCTTTCTGAATAACAGGGAGTTGAAGCACAAACACTAGCTAATGTTTATTTAGCCTTGGAAAACAACCTTGAAGTTATCCCTGTAAGGATATTTCATTTACTAGTAGCTTATTTACGCTTGTTATAATAGTTCATAGATAGATTGATTTTTCTTTATTCCTGTTACTTATGTAATGATTTGGAGTTAATAAAGTGGCTAATTCTTAAATATGGATAATATTTCATGGGCGTTCCCTCTATGTTATATTATGGGAAACTGGTTTTTGTCAAGTTTTTGACTTAACTTATTGCAAAGACTATTAATTGATGGAACCATATGTTTTTCTGTCTGATGAGAAAAATTTCTTATCCATTGCAGGTTTTGAATAAAATAGATCTTCCAGGCGCTGAGCCAAATCGAGTTATAAAGGAGATAGAAGAGGTCTGTTTGTCAACCTAGACCATTACTGGGGCTCTAAATTTGTCCATTTTCAAGGGGGCAGGATTCTATGTTCCTGCCTTTTATTTATTTCATATCTTACCATTAATATCCATTCTCTAATTACCTTTTGATATTGTAGAGTCTGACAATTTGTATTTTTGTAGATATTAAATTGTTATAGTTTTTCCCTCCAGCGGGATAGTATAAATTTGACAGTTAGTGTTAGCTAGAGCTTTCATGCATAATCATTGCAAGTTTCTCTGTTCTATATCTGGGAGTTGTCTTTCAGTTTTAGTGGATGATTCTTATGTTGAAACTTTTAATGGATTCCTCTGTAGATTGTTGGGTTAGATTGTAGCAATGCAATCCTCTGCTCTGCAAAGGTCAGTTCTTTGTCATTAACTTGTGTTTATACATGGCTTGTCTTTTTGACTGATAATCAGACAAGTGGGTCTTTATTGAAATTATTTTCTTGTTTTAGGAAGGAATAGGTATAACTGATATTCTCAATGCAATTGTTACAAGAATTCCACCTCCTGCTGAAACAGCTGAAAGGCCATTGAGGGCTTTAATTTTTGATAGGTATGGACCTTTTTTCCTAGATACTGTTCAACTTATGCATAGACATTTAGACGCAAGACAAAATAATTGCATTATTATGTTGGACATTGGAAAACCATTGAGACGTAAGATGGTACCCAAGTTCTTGAGGCTATCACACCTAATAACTAGTCTTGTGAGTTGGGCTCTCCTTTGACAGTTGACTCAACTTTATATAGGTGCTTTCATTAATTCTTTGATTCTTTGTGCAGTTACTATGATCCATATAGGGGTGTCATTGTATATTTTCGAGTTGTAGATGGAACTATAAAGAAAGGTGACAGAGTTTATTTTATGGCTAGTGAGAAGGTGATGTATTCTTCCCACTCTTATATCCTCTTTCTTAGCCGCCTGAGTTTTACATCATTAGGCTCCATTTATCCATCATAGTTTCAATCATCTATCCATTCTGACTGCAATTTAAATAGCGTGCTGGCATTTTTTGTTACTGTAATTAAATGCTATAATACAACAGGATTACTTTGCTGATGAAGTAGGAGTTCTTTCTCCCAGTCAACTGCAAGTTAAAGAACTGTATGCGGGTGAGGTAAAGTGATACTTATTAATGGGTTGGCTTTCTTATTTATTTTTGAGTGATGCAGATCTGTGATGTTTGTTGTGTTCTTTAACAGGTGGGCTACCTTTCAGCATCTATAAGAACTGTAGCTGATGCTAGAGTGGGTGACACTATTACCCACTATGGCAGACAAGCAGAGAACTCTCTCCCTGGATATGAAGAAGCCACTCCGATGGTGTTTTGTGGTCTATTTCCTGTTGATGCAGACCAGTATGTTATCTCTCATTTGTCGCTGCCACCCTCCCCCCCTCCCAAAAAAAAAAAAAAATCACAAATGATGGATTTAGGCACTTTAAGTTCCCTGGAATGAATTACTTTCCTCTATTTTGTTATCAGATTTCCTGAGCTACGTGATGCACTTGAGAAACTACAGCTCAATGATGCTGCACTGAAGGTATATGAATTATGTGCTGTAAAAATATGAAACTGCTTTTTTTTTTTTTTAATCTTCTTAATTGCTGGTGCTCGATGGAAGTATGTTAATGTGTGTAAGTGTACGCTTATAGAGGGATAACAATTTGTGTGTCAGCATCAGCTTACTTTAAAATTGTTGATTCAATATATTCTTGAGTTAATTACATAGACCTTCTCTGGGTCATGCTGAAATCACATAAACCACCCTTTTGTTTTCAAACTATACATGAATCTCCTATATACCACAAAGTTATGCTACACTTTAAACAGATTTCAGTTTTTTGTCACTAATATACTTGACAGAAATTCGTTGGTTGCACTGTAACCAATATACTTCATGTGGGTTTTTGTCACCAAAGTCGTTACTTTATTTCCTTTTTTAGGAGAATGTAGTCAGATCTTTAGGTCTTTTGTTATGCATTGATATCTTTTTGCCCCCCTTGGAGGGTGTAGAGATGTTTGCATCTCTTGATACTTGTATTTTTGACATGAATAATAAGGGTGTGTTTGGTTCAAGGGGAGGGGAGGGGTTTGATGTTACCTTGTTTGGTTTAGGAGGGGAGGGGAGAAAAAATCATGATATATGGACAATTTTACCCTTGTTTTATTAGTGTTGAGATACTGACAAAGTGTATCTATATCTTTTGAATTTATCACGGAGGGCATATTGGTCAAGGTGTGACAAATTTTACCCCCTTGCCCTCCAATTTTTTAAGCCAAACCCCAGGGAGGGGGGAACAAAATCTCTCCCCCCCAACCAAACACCCCCGAAGAGAATAGGAGCATTAATAACTAAATTTCTTCATTAACCAGATTTATTTTTTAAATGGATGGTCTTTTAGTTGTTAAATTTAAAATTAAACTAAAAGGTATATTTTGAAAATAAATGGTTATTTGTGTAGTTTCAACATAACACAAGAATGTTGATCTTTCTGCCTATCAATCTGCTTTTTATGAAATTTTCTTGTTTCTTACCATGGGCAATCTGCATGCATAATCTTTTCCAGTGCTTGGTGCATTTGTCATGAATTTACAAGCTACCTCAATTCTGAACTAAATTACTCCATAGTTGGTATCCATTTTTCTTGCGTTTCAGCTTGACTTTGGTAGAATCAATAATAAGCTGATGTGGGGAGTTTGTTTTGTTTTCTCGAATCCAGTTTGAACCTGAGACTTCAAGTGCCATGGGATTTGGCTTTAGATGTGGGTTTCTTGGACTTCTCCATATGGAAATTGTTCAGGTTAGATATCTGCATCTTCTAGATTGGATGCTCAAACTTATATCTACTCCCTGGACCTTGAAATTACCTTCACAAAAGCTTTATATTACAGGAAAGACTTGAGAGAGAATACAATCTGAGCCTGATAACTACTGCTCCAAGTGTTGTATATAGAGTGAACTGTGTAAATGGTGATACTGTAATTTCTTCTCGATCCTAAACTCACTTTTCTCAAAGTAATCTTTGTTATCTAAATTATTGATTCTAGTTGAATACCCTCCATATTTTCTAGTTAGCTGTTTTATTAATACCGCAATTTCATTAATCTCAATTATTGAAGGTTGAATGCTCAAATCCTTCTATACTCCCTGAACCTGGAAAAAGGAAGTCAATTGAAGAGCCATTTGTTAAGGTTATTTCTTGTACTTTATGAAATCCATATCCCTGATGAGTTTTTGAAGTAGGCCATGCTGAATATATTGACTTTTTAATGCTGTAAAATTTCATGTTACTTTATTTTTGAGTAATGTGTGAAGATTGAGATGCTTACACCAAAGGATTACATTGGTCCACTTATGGAATTGGCTCAAGACAGAAGAGGGCAATTTAAAGAAATGAAATTTATCACTGAAAATAGAGCATCAATCACCTATGAATTACCACTAGCGGAGGTAATCTCTTGGTTTATTTTTTTTTGTCACTCCACTCTAAAATCTTTTATGCACAAATATTAATATTTATCTAATTTTGGCCTATTCGTGTCTTACTCTTTTTGAATATCAATTTTGCAGATGGTTGGTGACTTCTTTGACCAGTTAAAGTCCAGAAGTAAGGGTTATGCTAGCATGGAGTATATGTTCATCGGGTAAATGTCTATGAAGGCTGCTGTTGCCTTATTTATCCATTAGATAAAAGAGATATGGCTACAGTTGTGACTAAACTGATATGCTGTCTTTTGTAAAAGATAATGGAAGAATTCAAATGTAACTGTAACTGTAGGTGTTCCATTTTGACCTCTATCCTTTTTCTTTTCATATTATACAATATATACTGCTTGGGTAAATGGAGCATTGTTCTAATTGGCCTTTCAGTATGCGTGTCATTACTAGCAATATCAAACTATTATCTAATACATTGCCATTGTTGACTTTTAAAGAAATTCATAGTACAGAGAGCTATAAAAACTGTCAATGTGTTATTGACACTTTGTTTGCTGACTCAGGTACAGAGAAAGTGACTTACTTAGACTTGACATACAGATAAATGGTGATCCAGTGGAGCCATTGGCTACAATTGTTCACAAAAATAAGGTAATTTATTGATCTTGCTGAATTAATGGACATTACCTCATCATATAAGTAGTCCATAGCTCTATGCAGTAGTTGGAAATAATGCTGTTGATTTTTTTTTTTCCAGTTTGTCATATTTTTTGAGATTTCTCTTCTCTTGATTGTGAGAGCAGACTCCACTCCTAATAGAAAAATTACCCTTTTCCAATATCTTACACGTTTATCAGAACCTCATACTTGTAAAAAAGACTTTTAACTAGTTTCATGAGATTAAGGAAATTAGTTAAATGTAACTTTGTTTTTTTTTTTTTCAAAATTATCCTTTGATTGTTATAGTTCATTGGGGGGAGAGGGGGATGGAAAAGCCATTGTTTTAAGCTTAGAGTGAAAGAGATAAGGGCATTGAAATGAGTAACAAATGTTTCATTAAATTTTGTAAAGGGTCTTCTTATATTAAGGACCAATGGATAAATCTTATAAATGGTATTGGAAAAAGATGGATTTAGAGTTTATTTTAGTTTGTTAAAATTGGATCTCATATAAGTTGTAAGATGGATTTTTGACCATGTTAATTGAGATTTACTTTTCTAGTCCTATTTATAAGTAACTTTCAATATGTTTCACTAGAACTAAGTAAAACTTTACAATTCATTGGCACTGTCTAAAAATTTAATAAGTTCTTAACTTTACTCCTATTAAATATACATCTTTTAATAATATACTTTCTCTCATTAACATTTAAGGGAAGGCAAAAGGGGTAGATTATGATAAAAAATTGATGATGTGGCTTATAAATGGGACCAAAAAAAAAAAAACTCTTTATCTCTCCGCTTTATAAATAGGACCAAAGGGAGTATATAAATTATGTTTATTAATTATTTGGGTATTTTATGCTCTACATATTTTTTTTCGATAGATTATAAGTAAGAATTATTTATTTTATATATTTAAATCCAAGATGTGACATTATGTATTTACATGACATTTACAAAAGAAGGATAATAGATATCACCAAATACCGAGGCCCAAAGATATTTAGTGGCACAATGCATTATTAATTTTCATTTCTTGCTGACTTCATGTCATCCCACTTCATTTTGAATGTACTTATCGTATAAAGGTGTGATTTTATCTGCAATTTGCTATCATTTCCAAGCACAGTATGTTTTGGCGTATATGAATTCTTGCTATTCATCACTATAATATAAAAAGTTATCTTACAGTTATTAACTTTCTTGAATTCATGTCAACTGTATTATCAGAAACTCATTTGAAGCTTAAATTTTCAGGCATATTCAGTAGGACGGGCTTTGACTCAAAAGTTGAAAGAGCTCATACCACGTCAAATGTTTAAAGTTCCAATTCAAGTAAGATCTACATGCTCTTTACTCCTTTCACGTATGATTCTTTTAAAAAAATAAAAAAAATTGATTCTCTAGCCTTGTATGCTGGAACTTTCAGGCTGTGGCTCACTTTCTCTGTCTGCACCTCTGACACAATTTGTGCATTAGATTTCTAGCTGAGTATTTAGAATCCTTGTTTTTTCCCCATTCAGCTAACCTCAGCAACATATGCTTGCAATCTTAAGCCAGGCTTGTATAGGTTCAAAAGTGATTGCTAGTGAGGCTTTATCTGCAATAAGGAAGGACGTGTTAGCTAAATGCTATGGTAAGACAAAGATTGCGTAGCTTTTGGATTGTAATTCTTTTTTCCCCTCAAATAATTTTTACCCGGGCTCTCAAAGGCTTTCCTGTTCTTTTAGTGTATGCATTTTGGGGGGAAGAAATCTATGCAAATATGAAGAAAATAAGATTCCGTTTCGTATAATCATTGTGTTTCCCATTAAATTCCTTTCTCTATAATGACCGTCCTGATTAATCATTATTTATATTCTCTCTTTTGATATTATTTTTCTAGGCGGGGACATTTCAAGAAAAAAGAAATTACTTAAGAAGCAGGTATGAGTCAAATTTTTTTTTTTTTTACTGTCATTATTTTTTATGGAGCTTTGAGGTTTCTAGGTGGCTATCAAAGCATTAATCCGTATTTTGTAGTTAGGTAGGTGATCCATGTTTTGTAAAATTTTGCATATTGCAACAACTGCTACCTCTGGCCCCACTTATATGCTTTCAGGGGAGGCGCAAAATTATTTGTGTGTGTGTGTGTGCGAGAGAGAGAGAGAGAGAGAGAGAGAGAGAACAAAATCTGCAGACGAGATCTATAGTTTTGATTCTACAAATTTGCATGACATTGCCCCTGAGAGTGTATTACCATGTGTAATCAGGCTGAAGGAAAGAAAAGGATGAAAGCAATTGGTAAAGTTGATGTCCCTCAAGAAGCCTTCATGGCAGTCTTGAAACTTGAAAAGGAGGTGATATGATATCATGACTTGCAACATAATCTGACTTGGGAAATATGTCAGAATCTTGGTGTATCATAATCATTATTTTGGAATAATGATCCTCATTATGTCTGTTTTAAGGGAAACTAGTTGCATATAAGATGCTGAATTTCGTTTTACTTTCGGTTCATATTATGCCTTAGCTATTTAGCATCTTTTTCGAAGTAATTACTATCAATATCCATATACTTGTCAACGTAAATCTTACCAATCTTAGAATATTAGGAGGGTGACTTATTTTAAATGTTGTGATTAATGGGAACTGAGTTTAGTGGACTGAGTTAGTTTCTTATAATATAGTGAACTAAGGTTGAAATTCTTATTGGGAGAAGTTCTGTTTCTAATAAAAGGATATCTTTAAGCAATAAAAAAAAAAATTTAGCAACATGCAAAATCCTAGTGCTAGGTTAAAGTCTCTTTTGATGGTATTTGGTTTTTCGTTGTGCTACGCTGGGGTCTTGGGTGTTTTTTTTTTTTTTTTTTGGGACTTTTGTTATTTGGGTTTGGACTAACATATATGTAAAGCGGTCAATTTTTATTTCTTATAATGTTCTGTTTATTTTTCTGCGGAAAAAAAAAAGTGATTTTCGATGTGTATACACTTACTGTAGAGTCTCCATTATATATATATATATATATATATATATATAAGGATCCGGGTTCTAAATTCAGTGTTCAATAGAATGAATTCTATCTTTTGGTTTCTGGACCAAAATATCTTCTGGTCAAGCTTTAAATGAAACGAGGGAAGTGATGTTAATTGAGTTCAGGCCCTGATGATGAAAGATCATTACAAGTACACCGAGCAACAATGCTTATTTGTTTATTTAAGCACAAAGCACTGTTATATGTTTTAGATGATCGAATTTTGTTATGATAAAGTCATATTATGGTTTTCAACAAAAAAAAAAAAGTCATATTAAGTTAGATATAATTGCAAAATTGTTGAAGGGACCAAGTTAAATGATCTATCCAGTCCTACTTTTACTGAATTATATTAGTGGTAGTGTTTACGGGAAGGGAATCCGTGTTTTTTGGCTTTTCACATATATCTTTCAATTGAAGGTAATTTTGTTTGAAATATTTTTAAATATTAAATGTGAATACCTCTTAACAAGAATTTGAACATTGTTCGACATGTCATGAGATATTAATATTTTTTGTTAAATTTAACCTTGGTGTAGATAATCTTTGTGTGAAATAAAAATAAAAACACTGGTTTAGCCTGGAGAGATAGTGAGGTTTGTGATTGGAGGTGTTTAGATGTAAAAATGGGACCATTGTCCAAAATCCAAGTGTCCAGACCTTTGTTCACACGTTCTTCTGTGTCACTCTTTCTGCGTGCGTGCATTCTCTTAAAAAAAAAAAACTCACCTGTCTGTTTTATGTAAATAAATAAAAACGTTTTGTCATCTTCCCTGCCTGAAAACGAAAAAACAAAAAAAGAAAGATTTGTAAGAGACGCTAACGTTAAAAAAAAAAAACCTGTAGTATAAGTCTTTTAGGGACGACGAAATGCCAATCCTAGCAAAATCACTAAAATAAATACTTTTGAGATAGAGCGACCATGTATTAGTAATATAACCCCCCACACATGAAAAATATTTATATATAATTATATTGTCATCTAAGATGATGACCCGTTGTTTCAGGTAGTGGGGATCATGAGTAACGAATCAATTGGGGAGCCATTTGTTAAGGTTATTTCTAGTGCTTTGTGAAATTCATATCCCTGCTTAATGTTTGAACTTTGAAGTAATCCATGCCAAATATATTAACTCTTTAGTGATGTAACAATTTCATGTTAATTAATTTTTGAGTAATGTATGCATTGAGCCAACGATTTTATAACTTAATGACATGAAATTCACTCTTATTGGTGATAGGTTGCGGGTTCAATCCCGCTTGTTTCAAGCATTTAGCTTACCTTGTGTACTGAAAAAAAAAAAATTTATTGACAAGCTTACACCGAAGGATTGATTCACTCAAGGGATTGGCTTAAGATATGAGAGGGCAATTTGAAGAAATGAAATTCATCACTGAAAGCAGAGAGCATCAATCACCTGTGAATTGCCACTAGCAAAGGTGATGTCTTGATTTAAGTTTTTGTCACTCTACTCTAAAATCTCTTTATGCATTAATATTTGTGTCTTACTGTGTCTTTGAATATCAATTTTGCAGCTGGCTGGTGATTTCTTTGACCAGTTAAAGTGCAGAATTAAGGGTTATGCACTTGTGCTAGAACGGAGTACATTTTCATTGGGCAAATGTCTATGAAGGCTCTGTTTTATAGCATATGGCTTTTGCCTTATTTTCATCCATTAGACACAGGAGGGAAATGAGGGTGAAGCACATCGGAGATTAGGGTATTTCTGGGTAGGATAGGCTTTGCTTGCAACCAAATTGCTTTAAATGATTGACTTCCTCAACATTATGCAACCAAAATTGACCTGGAAAAATGATTTTTTTTTTCTTTAAAAAAAGATAAGCTAAATAACTGAGACCTAATCAACCAAATATGAAAAATAATTCAATAAAGCTTTTAGAAGTCATAAGTCATATTGAAAATTTATGTGACTTTCAAGGACAATGCCAATAAAATATCAACCAGAGTTCACCCAAAAAAAAAAAAAATCTTCAAGTAAAACAATGTTATTAGTTACAGATACATTTAATTTTCTTCCAGAATATATTTCAGAAAGAACTTTTGAATATTATGATTATATACATATTACAAGCATATTACTGGCTAGGATTCTGATTGAATTGAAAATTAAGCAACTGTACATCGAATACTATTAAAGAAAAAAATAGTATTTGCCACAGCGGATGAGGATTATCTCCCTCTAACCATCCATGGCAGCAGCACCAACATGCTTGACGTCAATTTCACAAAACCAACACTACAAGGCATCAGTTTCACTCAGCATAACAAGGTTCAGGAGTGAATACTTAACCATCAGATATATTTTCCCATACTGTAAAGCAAGCCTTGCTCCAGACACAACCCAATACCCCGGCGAATCTTCTGGTCCTCTCACCATCTCTTTTGTGTCGACAAACCTCAGAAGCTTTGGCGTGTGCACTGGAAGTGGTCGCGCTGCTGAGTACGTGGTTGACCCTATAGTCACATCTCCTGGCTTTGGATGACCCTTCTGCCTCTCTTCAGTGAAGATTCCACAGAATCGCCATGACTTGTGGCTCAAGTTATCTAGATTCGGCTCCCATTCTGGTTTCTTCTGAGAGGTAGATCCGATGACCTTGGAGAAGCGCAGGCGTAGAAAGAGACACTTGTTCTCAACTTGTAACTGAGCTCCAGTGACAATGGAAAGAGCATCATCTGACTCTACAGGTGCAGTGCAGACATATGAAAAGCTATTCCAGCAAACTTTTTGATGGGATGTGCAGTTATAAGAGTTACATGACAAATAAGCATTTTCATTGTCTGAAAGTGGGAAGGACTTGGGTAGAGAAGCCAGATGCTGCAAGTGAATTGCTAAGCGGTTGCTTGTTCTCCCTTCTAACTGTAATCTTAAGCCTATTACTGGTCTGTTACCTACATCAACCTGCCATAAAAGGAAAGAGGATATGTCATGGGCATTTATCTAACTGTTTTGTTTTTCAAATTAAGTCCCTTAATCTTTTGGAATTCACATTCTGCATCACTAATCCAGGTCAGGTTAGGTGGATCGATGCAGAACTCTGACAACACGTACGTTCTTAAGTTACAAAGGTCGAACCCAAGAATTCATTTAAAAGAAAACCAGCTCCTTGCCAATCACACCAGTCAAAGTTGATAACAGTACAATTTTTTCAATTGACAATTGTTACTAGGATAGGTTTCTTAATAGAAGATATATCAGATATTCTAATAAAATCTAATGCAGACCATTTAAATGACACAAGGGAAGCAATGAATGAAGCATGGGAAGTGCAATTTGTTTGTACCACGCAATGTACAAGGTGTGGGAGAATAAAACTATAGCCTTCTCTCTTACTGAAGGGAGGATCTAATCACTAATGTTTTTGAGACTATGAGACGATGGGAGTCACGTAAACTTGGATGGGAAAGACCAAAACCCCTACTTATAGCCTTCATAACCCAAACCATCAAAGGGTTTTAGCTCTTCACTTTCCTCTAACATTCATAAACCCAGAAAGTCATTAAGCGGAACACTTTTCACATGCATAATTATCAAATACATCCAGGTACATCCATTTTGGATAATGTAAATCTTATTATTTTCCTTTAATATAGGCCGTGTATTTTCATGCGATCATTAAGGATACAATAAGTCTATCATAAATCTAACAAAGCAAGCAAAGGTATGGCTCTTCACCATCTTCTCAGGCTAGGCATTCTCTAGCCTGTAGGAAGCATGGGAACTCTTCATTGTTCACAAAAAAGCATAAAGAACTTACTGGAATTGTGTCTATGTAGAGCTTAGGACCAAAGAAACCAAATGTTAGCCAGGTGTTGACTTGTTGTTTCCATCGAGCGCCAAGCCGTATTTCACTAAGAACAGGAGCCCAGTGTCTTGGAAGCTGGAACTCAAAAAACTGATGCAGATCTTTGATTGGAGGTTTATCTGTTTCAGGAGTAACAAGTTTATTCAGATTCAGTTCATCCAATTTCAGAGGGAGGTACATGCCTTGTTGAAATTCACAGGTTTTTCAGGTGTACCAAACAAGTTCATTGCTCACATTGAAGATATAGATTTATGGCATGGCACACAAATCCACTTCCACGGATGCTTTTCAAGAGGGATGTCAATGGAACAAGAAACATGGAGATGACATCGGGTTCCAAGTCGACAGTATCAAACCATTCCTTATGATATAGCATTTCAGTGCTTCCACCCCTCCTACTGCTTACTACAACCACATTCTGCAAACACAAGAATTTATCAAGCTGTCTTGTCATCAAATTGTGGTTACTCAAGAGAGAAGAAAATTCTTAAACTGGATTGAACGAATGCAAATGCAAGAAAGAATTTGGCAACAGTCCAACGAATTTAAAGTTATTGAAAAAAGGTGAATAAATACAGATGAGTGCAATACCTCGTCATTGTAACATATATCCTCAGAAGTCAAACTACTATTTTCTGCAGAACCCATA